AGTATGCATATAATTAAACTCTTTTATTCTTAATCTTGATAGAAGTGTTGTTGTGTATGAACACCCAAAATCTTAAAATAGTTGATGGACAGAGTTTCAATAGAGCTGTTATAGTTTAAAGTACTGTGGGGGCTATGACCTTAGATTCTATAATGTAGTTTACTAGCTTAGTAGGCCGGTTGATGAATAAGGATCATGTTTGAATGGCTAGAGCTAAGGAAGTTAAGGTAGATAAGTATTACAGTTATTTCTAAGATTGAATCCACCTCATTTTTAGGGTCCAACGAAGCCTCTAGCAGCTGAAAATTGGTTGATAAGGAAAAAAATTCATTTGATAGTATGCAATATCCTGTCTTTATGAAGATTTCATTAGCTATATTTTTACTAGATAGATAGGTATAGCGGTAATGGATAGGCTAGTAGAGGAAGAAATTCTAGGGTTGATAAAATATAAAGATTTGAACATGCCATTACTCATCATGCCATTAACTTAGTCCCCTGTTTCGAGTTTCCCAATAATATTTATTATCAAATGAATCCTACTAAACATATTAGGATTAAAAGACTAGTTGATGACTTAAAAAAGATTTTATAAAAAAATCTTAGTTCATGTGTAGTATCGGTCGTATTAACCCCAAAGAAATATATCATATTGAGGATGTGTATTAATATAGTAGGGCAATTAATAAAGTTACTATTAAGTATATCATTTATATCCCTTGATTGTATGACATGGTTGATTTCAGTTTAGAAGCATGTTTTTTCTAAAATTAATTTAAAAGTGATTATCAACAAATTAGGATTCAATCAAGAGATGAATGAAAATTTACTTTTAAGATCCATGATAGGCTCCATGAATGGTTAGTGATGCCCTTTGGACTTTCAAATGCTCCTAGAACTTTCATGAGATTAATTAAGATTATAGTACCCTATATAGGAATTTTTTTATTGTATATTTTGATTATATCTTAATTTTTTATCCCAAATAAAATAGACAACCAACAACATCTTAAGCAAGTTTTTGAGACTCCTCTAAATAAGATGGTATGCATCAATTTGAAAAAAAATGTTTCTTTTTACAAATAGAAATAATTTTTCAGGGATTTATAATTTTTACTGCTAGAATAAATTATGTCCCTAACAAAGTTAACATAATCTCAGATTGGCCAAAACCTAAGAGTTTCACTGTTATTAAAAGTTTTCAAGGCTTGACCACTTTTTATAAATGATTCATCAAATATTTTAGTGTCATTATAGTTCTAATCATATACCTATTAAAATTAGATAAATTTTGTAAGAACTTATCCACAAAAGGCCTTAGATCAAATTAAAGTTTTAATGACTTCTAGTTCTACTACCATCCTTAGGCTTTCTTATTTCTCTAGAGCCTTTGAGGTGACTTGTGATAGATCTAAAATCAAAATTTGAGGAATATTAAGTCAAGAAAATCATCATATAGCTTTCTTTAGTGAAAACATCAAATGAATCAAAGTAGAGATATTTAACATTTGACATGAACTTTTATGTTGTTATTTAATCTTTAAGACATTGACGATACTACCTTTTATATAAATAATTTATTCTCAATTCAGATCATCATGCCCTTAAGTTTATCAATATCCAATAAAAATGAAATCATAGTCATACCAAATGGGCCAAGTTTCTCCATGACTACTCATTTATCTTAAAACATTTACATAGAGTTGATAATAAACATATTGATGCTTTGTCAAGGATAACACTAACAATCTCTTCTTAATAATTTAAAATCCTAGGATTTAAATGAATTAAAAATGCGTATTAAGTATGTCCTATCTTTCATCCGATATATATTGAGCACTTAGGAAAACCTTTAACCTTACAAGAATATTCTCAATAATTGATGGATATCTACATCAAGAAAATAACTCTACATCCCCATATCCTCTCTTAATTCTTACTTTTTGAGCTATAATCCAGAGGAATTTCTAGTCATTTTGGAAATAATAAAATAATATATTTAATGAGAAGTCATTTTTTTTCCTTCACTTAAACAAGACATTCAAAAATTAGTGGCTTAATGTCTAATTTATAAACAAGCAAAAGCCACAAAATAAAAATCTAATAATATATTGCTTTTTCTATCTCTTATGAGTCTTGGGAAGACCTCTCAATGAATTTTACCTTAGGATTATCTAGTACATGTTAATTAAATAATAACATTTTTATTGTAGTTGATAAATTCTTAAATATGGCCCATTTCCTACCATGCTCCAAAACCAATAATGCTTCACATATTACTAGAACATTCTTAAAAAAAAATTTGTGCATATGTAAGACATTCCTTTGATCATTATCTGATTGTGATGTTGGGTCTATTCTGAGAGACTTTATGAAAATTATTTAGCACCAAATTTAAATTATTATCTATTTTTTATCCTCAAACTAATAGAAAAGTTGAAGTTATAAATCAAATATTAGGAAACCTGCTATGATGTCTTGTAGGAAGAAGTTTAAAAAATTAAAACTTACATTTGCCTACATTAAAATTGCATATAATAGTATTATCTCTAGAACAATCAAAGCTTCAACTTTTAAAATAATGACCAAAATCTTAGGTGGCCGATTAATGTAACTAATCTCTCATTTCATGTATTTTTGATTCCCCATTTATATTTGTTATGGACTTCAAAATCTACATGATACCATAAGATAATAAATCACTTTAAATAATAACAAATTTTATTCTAGGATAAACCCTAATCGACTAATAAAAGAAGGTGATTATGTTTTAATTCACATATACCTTAAGTATTACCAAACATCTAAGTTTAAGAAATTAGATGCAAGGGTTTGTGTCCTAATTAAAAGTCTTAAGAAAATGAGATCTAATGCTTATTACTACTATATTGAAAGATATTTTATCATATGAGGGAGTTATTAAATCTCCTCTTGTTTAATTTAATTCCTTAGTAGGAAACATAGTTCCTCATTTACAAAATCCCTTATTTTTATAGATAAATTACATCATCACTAAGCAAACACCAACTGATCTAGTTGATGAGCATTATTTTGTAGTTTGTTGGGAGAATAAATCATCTAGTAATGATACATAAACTTAGAGACTTTGGTATCACAATTGGTAGAAGATTATTTGAAATTTAACTCTATAGAGCAAAGTTCAACTGAGCCTAGGGGAGTTGATGTAGCACATCATGTGGATAAGGATAATCAAACTAAAAACCCAAATGCAAGAAATATGACAAAAATCCAAAGACCCAATTATAATAGCCCAATAAAAAGCATAAAGTTATAAATATTTTAAAAACAATATATATTTTATCTTTCATCTAAAAGCCTATATGGTCAACCATGAAATGATTTGGTATGGATGAGATATTTAAAAAAAGGGTGGTTAAAACTTTTTAACTTCTTCCGACCCTTTCTTTCCCTCCATTTCCCCCTCTAAATTTAGTCTTGTAATGCTTAGTAATATGGGATGATATGCATTATAATTTTTTATTTTTGAATTGAAAGAACTTACGGAGAAGTGCCATTCATTTGTTTGGTTATTTGTGGCTTCAAGTGTATTCCTTTGTTTGGTGAGATTAGGTTTTTATTTTTATTTCTTTATGTTATTCATAACTCTTTATAAACACGTGCTCTAAATTTTTCACAACTCTTTCTCTACTTCTTAAGTATCCTTTAAGACTAATAATTTAACAACTAATTTCATAAAACTATTCTAAACACTTCCACATAGCCATTGACTCAACTAGTGAACACTTAGACCTAGTCTTATTCTCTACACTTCAATGTTCTATTAAACTCCATCAAACTCTACCATCAACTTTAGAGCACAAGTTCATATCCTCATCTAACATAAAAGTTACTCCCTAAAGTGGTCTTCCAAATAAGTCAAAAGTTATCCAAGCTAGACTAGTCTTAGCATTCCTGCAAATATATCCCTTTATACTCGTCATCATTCCAACATACATTTCAAAACACGACTCTAAATTTAAATTAAAGATCCATAGTCTTTGATAGTTATTAATATCACCAAAAGGCTACCTTCCACCATCAATTATAGTTAAGAACATTTGAAGAATTGCTAAAGGGAGATCTCTCTACTTGATAATGATGTCATTAGCCTCGTAGTGCTAAACAATTCTCTCCTCAGACCCCCACTCTATATATGATATGAGTATATTTAATTGCCTCTATACAAACATAATTAGAGAAGGCAACTACATACATAATAAAATAAGTCAATTCTAAAAGAGATAGTGTGGGCAAAATAATACAATTCTAATCATATTCAAATAATGTTTGAACAAAGTTCAAATCTTATTCCACCAATCATTGAACTTATTCAATCATACTCTACTCTAATTCCAACCTTGACCAAACACTATTCTAACCATATTCGAACCGTGCTAAATTATGTTCGAATAATATTCAAACATTATTCCCATCATATTCGAACCAAATTAAATTATGTTTGAACCTTGCTTAGATGTTGTCCAAAATTTTTATAAGAAATAAACTATTTTGTATATTTACCTAATTTTGAATACTAGAAGTCATATATATAATTTTGTCGTATAAAAATACATTAGTTTCAAAATAATTTATCATACACAGCTCATCTTAGTCTGTATGTTGTGAGCTTATGCTTCAAATTAAGAGGTCTTGAATTCGAGTATTTGTATATGCCTGTGTGCCTAAATGTCCAAAAAAAAAAAAAAATTTGAAGTTCGATTGGCCGGAAATTCGTAGAAACTCGTTGGCAAATTATTGGGTCAGGTGACCGGAGGCGAAAAATAAGTTCGGACATCCAATAAAAATTTGCCGCGTCACCTGCGCTTTTGATTGCGCTTTTGACTTGCGCTTTAGTTGCGCTTTACTTGCACTTTACCTGCGTTTTACTTGCACTTTACCTGCGTTTTAATTACGCTTTAGTTGTGCTTAATTTAAAATAATATTTTATTAATATCGGGATCTATGTCTATTTCGGTCACCTGACCCAATAATTTGCCCGGCTTCAATCGAAGCCGACCGAACTCATAACCTCTCGCCGTTACCTCGCCGGAGGAGAAAAAACCGAGCTTTATCTGTCTAATCCATTTGTTTTCCACTCCAGTTATTTCCAGTGGAAGCATCTCCAAAGCCAGGTATAATCCGAAACCCTAATGCAGGCTTCGATCTGTCTTATGCTTCGGTCATCTATAACCCCTGATTCTGTATGGCGCGGATAAGGGACGATCGCAGATGTCGAGTACCACCGTCGATCCGTCGGGAAATCCAATCCCTACTTCATCAGTTCTTATTGCGGCGTCGAAGCACATCGCCTTTAAATGCCGAGCTGAGAACATGGCTTTTATCAAGTGTAAGAAGAAGGATCCAAACCCGGAAAAATGCCTCGACAAGGGCCGCGAAGTCACCCATTGCGTCCTAAGTTTGTAAGAGTTCGCATCTGAAAGCAATCTTTTTCACTTCCTCCTGTTATATGTAAGAAATGGTTGACTTAATTCACATAATTTGCTTTTTCCGCTAAGATCTTCTTCGTGTTTGAAGTTCTCTAACTATCTATAACTGGTCATGGGCAGTGGGAGTTGCTTTTATTATTTGGTTGCATGCCAATTGGCTTGATCCAACTTTCACTCTGCTTTTGAAACCATTCATGTTCTACTAGTTATATAATCCTATAAACAGTGGCCTTTTTTGTTATTCCAAACCAAAGCACGTTCAAAATTTTTAAAGTTTGAATACGAACGTTAAGTTTTAATGTAACTCTGAAGCAGTGATTTTGCAGTCAACGGTATATAACATGCTTAGAATGCAGGCCTGAAGCTATGATTAGTTTGCCTTCGTTGCGGCATACATAGAGATCACAGGTTCACATAATGGAAACAATCATTTCATGGTGTATGAGTGGGACTGGCTACATAAACTTCTTTTTAAATATGCATTAATTGAATCCTTATGTGTTTGCTATTATATTATATGATGCGCTCACTAGGATTGTTTTTTTTCTCAACAGCGTCCTTATTTTCTCATGTCATTTGAATGTGTTGAAATAAATTCCCTCTGGCTAAATCGAGTGTGGGATATCTTTGCTTAGACTGAAGAAAGTTGAAACGTTGATTCAATGTTCATGTTTGAATGAAATACTAACCGAGGTCCTATTTATAACTTGAGCAGAGGAGACTTTAGGATGTGCAAAAATTGTTGTTGGATATGTGGGCATGTTGATGATGCTCACACAATACTATCTTTGATAGCTGTCTAAGTATTCAATTATTCAATCTCCAGGCAATTTGGGAGATTATACATTAAGTGCTTTTGAGTATGCATACATAAGGCGTGTCATCTTGCTTATGTGGGGCATGCAAAGGTGGCACTTAATTAGAACTGTTGGGTGTTGGCATGTCATCTTTGAGATTTATATTAATCCAATCTATTGATACAAATAAATCTTCAGACTGATCATTGGATTCTTTACATCGAATAAAAGTCACCTTTTATAGTCCTTGACCAATCCACTTTGGTTAATATATGCTTTCGGGGGACTAAGTCCTTTGATGGTTGTATTTTATTTTTTTTTTTAAATTTTTTTTTCTTTTGTTGTATCGAGTGCCATGCCCAAAGGCAACATGCAGTCCTCTCCCTTCTCATGGTCAACCATGATAGAGATGGAGCTTTCTATTGTTGCAAGGTCAGTTAAGGATTGTGGGTGTTGTTCTTAGAGTTAATGGAGTGGTAATGGGTGGCCCATGAATACCTTTTATCCTGTAGATGGAGTTACTAAGCAGGGAACTTTGTGAAGGAGCAGTGATTGAAGCCATAAAAACTCCTTTGTGGGCAATTAAGGCGCACCAAAGCACCGTCTTATTTTTCTTTTTAATAGATTGTACAAATTATCATTCTCCAAACATGGAATGCCTTTCAACTTGCATCCTACTTTCTGTTGAGTGCAGGTGATGATCTTTTACAATGGAGTAGATAATGGGGCTCATTGTGCCCAAGGGCTCAAATCTATTAAGGGAAGGTTGCTGGTGTTGCCTTATCATTTTGGAGTGATAATGAAAACTATGATTTTCACATGACGCTCCAGGAGGCTTTGTAAACCTCTTGTTGAAAGATAAGGCGTGAGTGAGTTCACATCGGATTCATCTCTCTTGGTCCACTGATGCTATTCTAGCCTACATTTTGCCATTATCCATAGGGGTTATGGGAGGGGGGCTCTATTTCTTCTAATATGGAGTCCTATTTGGCTGTCCTATCTATATATAAAAAGTATTTTCTTGGGTAGGTTGGCTTCATGTAAACTGCTTACTAGTGGATTTGACATTATCTCAACATGCTTAGTAATGTATCGATCTTCTTTTTATGAGACGGCTGCTGATTTCCTTGGGAAAATTAAAAATGAGATATTATATCATTTATGTTTATAAAAATACAAATATACAATGTTATAGTTCTTGATGATTTAAGGATGACATAATAAGAATGATATAAGAAAGTTAAATTAAGATGTAGACCTTGAAAGAATATAACTTTCCTATGTGTTATTGTTGTTGTAATTTGACACTAAAAACTTGTTACAACAAACTTTTGAGCTTGTCAACACTAATTTATCTTATTTATTTGTCTGTAAGATAAAAAATGAGTAAAAGCTCAAAATAGTCCTCCAGCTATTGATTAATGTCCAATTTAGTCCCAAAGTTTCGTATTGCCTAATTTTAGTCTCTTGACTATTAGAATTTGAGCCAATTTAGTTCTAGAGCCTAAAATAAGAGTTAAAGTTAATCTCAAAGTTAAATATGAAAGATATTTTAGGCATTACAAATGAATATGAGATTACATTGCTTATATTACTCTATTTTACCATTTAATAAATTATATTATATATAGTTAATCTAGTATATAATAAAAGTGAATAAATAAAGAAAAATTTTATTTTTTAAAACAACATTTAACATTGCTCTTATTTATCATACTTTAATATAAAATAAAATTTATTTTACTAATTTTTAATCTATTAGATACAACAACAACAACATCAAGCCTTTATCCCACTACGTGGGGTCGGCTACATGAATCCTTTTTCTCCATTGTGTCCTGTTAAAAGTCAAATTCTCGTTTAAATCTAATAAAGAAAGGTCATTCCTAATATTTTCTAACCAAGTCTTTTTAGGTACCTCTACTCTCCTAACCGGGTCATCGGAAGGCCACCTTTTTATGTGACCAAACCATCTAAGGCGACTCTCTCTAATTTTATCTTCTACTGGAGCTACTCCAACCTTTTCATGTATATGCTCATTTCGTATCCTATCTCTAAGGGTAAAGCCACTCATCCACCTGAGCATTCTCATCTCTGCCACACTTAACTTAGTATTATGCTTCTCTTTTAAAGGCCAACATTCGGCACCATAAAGCATTGCAGGCCTCACTATCATCTTATAGAATTTTCCCTTAAGTTTGAGGGGTACATTTCTATCACATAACAAGCCCGATGCATTCCTCCACTTCAACCATCCAATTTGAATTCTGCTGATAATATCCCCATCTATTTCACCATCACTCTGAACAATAGATCCAAGATATCTAAAACGTGTACTCTTATTAATGACTTGATCGCCCAAAGTCACAATCACCTCACTAGGTCTATTACTACTAAAATTACACTCCATATATTCTGTTTTAGATCTACTCAAGCGAAAACCTTTAGACTCTAAGGTTGACCTCCATAATTCAAGTTTACCTTCAACTCCCTCTCTAGTCTTATCAACAAGAAGAATATCATCAGTAAAAAGCATACACCAAGGTATATCCTCTTGCAAATGTCTAGTGAGAACATCCATGACTAAAGTAAAAAGATATGGGCTTAAGGCTGATCCTTGATGTAACCCAACCGAAATAGGGAAATACTTGGTCAATCCACCTTGTGTTTGAACACAAGTAATAGCTCCTGCATACATATCTTTAATGATTTGAATATAAGCATTATTGACTCCTTTCTTTTTAAGAACTCTCCATAGCACTTCTCTTGGAACTTTATCATATGCTTTTTCTAAATCAATAAATATCATATGTAGATCCTCCTTATTTTCTCTATATTTCTCCATCAAACCTCTTAATAAATGTATGGCTTCCATAGTCGACCTACCCGGCATGAATCCAAATTGATTTTGAGAAACATTAGTATCACGCCGCAACCTATGCTCCATAACTCGCTCCCATAGTTTTAAAGTATGACACATTAACTTAATACCTCTATAATTCGCACAATCTTGTGCATCACCTTTATTCTTAAAAATAGGAATTAACATACTCATTCTCCACTCATCTGGCATCTTTTTAGTCTTCAAAATAGTATTAAAAAGTTTAGTAAGCCATGAAATTCCTTCATCTCCTAAGCATTTCCACACCTCTATTGGGATATCATCAGGTCCAACAGCTTTTCCACCCTTCATTTTCTTTAAAGCCTCTCTAATTTCAGTTTTACTAATATGCCGATAAAAACATAAATCTTTATTTTCATCTAGGGTGCTAAGGTCACTATAGTCAATCTTATTTTCACAATCTTCATTAAAAAGTTTAGCAAAATATCTCATCCATCTTTGTTGAATATCATCTTCTAAGAAAAGTATTTTTTGATCTTCATCTTTAATACACTTCACTTGAACTAAATCCTTACTACTCCTATCTCTTTGTTTGGCTAACTTATACATATATCTTTCTCCCTCTTTAGTATCTAATCTATTATATAAATCACTAAAAGCTAATGCCTTTGCATCGCATATTGCTTTCTTAGCATCCTTACGAGCCACTTTATATATTTCCCAATTATCAGAATTTTTAAAATTAAACCAATTTTTATAACAAAGCTTCTTATTTTTAATTTTTTCTTGCACATTAGGATTCCACCACCAACTATTTTTACTATTGGGAGCTTTTCCCTTTGATACTCCAAGGACATCTTTTGCAATATTCTTAATATCACTAGCCACTTTTTCCCACATAATATTAGCATCCTCATGCACAGACAAAATCTTAAGATCTAAAATCTTATTTCCAAAAATATTTTTGTTAATATTCTTTAAATGCCCCCATTTAATCCTAGAAAATTGTTTTACTTTATTTTTTATTTTATGCCCCTTTATCTTAAAGTCCAAAACTAATAATCGATGTTGGGTACATAAATTTTCACTCGGAATAACTTTACAATCTTTGCAATCTAAACGATTTAATTTTCTAATAAGAAAATAGTCAATATGAGTTGTATTATATCCATTTTTATAAGTGATGAGATGCTCATTCCTTTTCTTAAATAAGGTATTAGCAATTAAAAAATCATAAGCTAAACAAAAATCAAATATGGTCTTGCCACCTTCATTCGTCGTTCCAAATCCATGGCCACCATGATTGCTTTTAAAATCAACTACCTCTCTACCAA